TCCATCAATCTCTTTCAACTCGAAATGTTCGAAGCGCTGCATGCTTCTTCAGCCAGCAGAAGGCGGGACAAGCGAAACCAGCGACAGCAAAGTTTGAGTCAACGCGCAGACCTATATCATAGGGCACACGAAACAGACCTTGTTCAGTCTTAGTGCAAGCCAGTGGTGCATGACCCAGCGGACGCGGAGCTTGTTGATGCCACCAAACGCCATGGTCACAACAATGACCCTAAATCGGTTCTGCTGCCTCCTTGTCGGCGCTGACAGAGGCCCATGTATTCGGTGCGAGTCAATCTGTATTCAGTCGAACCACAACGTTGGCGAGCATGGATGCGATAGCATGGCGCGCCGCACCAGGCGGCAACGGCGGGGTATAAATGCATGGAAATGTGGGTAACTAGCGAGTGTGCGATTAGATGGACCAGAGGATATGCGATGGATCGCAGTCGACGACGACGAGGTCCTCCTCCTGAGCGCCCTCTTCAAAGAGGAGGCTGTTGGAGTCGTCGAGCACCTTTGCCGGTTGCTTTTCGTCGTGTGCGATGCAGAGGCCGAGCGCGGTGGAGGGCATGCGTGCGTCGTCTTGGAGGTGGAGCGTGAGCGTGAGGTTCTTGGGCGAGAGTCGGAAGCCCTGTTCGGCCATGCGCGCCGCGATGGCTTCCTTGAGGTCGAGCACGCTCGAGTTGGACGAGATGAAGATGCTCGACAGCGGCCTGGGCTTTCGCTCGGCCGCGGCGGCGGTGGCGGCGGCGGCGGGAAGAAGGGCGGGCGACGCGGGCGGGAGCGAGGTGAACTCGAGCTGGAGACGGATCGAGGAGGGCGGGGTGGGCGGGCAAGCGGAGAACCAGTTGTTGACGGCAGGAACGTGCGACCAGGAAGCGCGCTCGTCGGCCGAGTGAAGCGAGGCGCTCGACGACGCCAGAGAGCTCGCCGAGGAGGAAGGGACGAGCGCCGAGGCGACGGAGACGGAGCTGTCGGTGGACGAGAACTGCGAAGTTGCCGAGAGGCGCTTGGGTTGCACCTTTGGCGCGGCGGGGAGCGTGTCGACCAGACCGAGACCCGTGAGTTGTTCGT